TTCGCCGTCCACGATGAAAATCTCCATCGCGCCGAACAGCTAGATCCAGGAACGGTCGATGGCCGCCAGTGGCGTCGAGTCGCGCCTGCCCGCGATCTCCTGGCCGTTCTGCCACCGTGAAGTGCAGCAGATCAAATACAAGATCACACGGTCCTGTAATAATGAAAGATGTTGCGTTCGACGTGCTGGTTGGCTCGCGTCGAAAAGCGACTTGTTGACCACTGTGAGGATGAGGTCGAGGATTGCCTGTGGCATGCTGGCTGCTCGAAGGGCTCGTGCCATTCCCACATGAGCAGCGTGACACCACTGGAGGTGTGGCTTGCGTAGCTCTCGCATGTGGGTCTCGTGCGAGTCGCCGCGTACTGCTCGTAGTGACGTGGTGATGTCAAGGCGAGTCCAGCCTGAAGGCGTCGGATTGCCTGCAGATGCGTCGGCAGCTCACGGTGCTGACCGTCTCGGAACAGTGCTGGTTGCTGGGCTCGTAACTGTGGTCCGAGAACACCCTGAGCGCCAGAGCTGGATGATGAGCTGGCCCCTGGTGTACCTGCTGACGCGGGTGGAACGGCAGCCTCGCCTGCTGCTCCGAGGTCGGCTCCGCGAAACGTCAGGGAGGCCTCCTGCAGGGGCCCAGGATTCAGGAGGTCAAATTCCACCAGCCCTTTATAGGGCGTAGGTGGTTTAGGGAGTTTCCTATTCCACCCCTCCCTCTTCCCCTTCGGAGAGGGCCCCTCCCCTGGACCTGGACGGGGGGTTCTGCGGGTAGTTGGAGCGTCCAAAACGGCCTCGGCGAGGAAGCCAAAATCAATGGTTTTACTAAGGTTTTGGCCCCATTTTGGCCTCCTGGAGGGGGCACCCAAATTAAAGACCCCCCCTTCCTAAATCGATCTCCTCCGAGATGGCTCCAAGAAGGCCCCAAGAGGTGGCCAGGAGGCCCCAAGAGGCCCCCGAGAGGCCCCCAGGATGCCCCCAAGAGGCTCCCAAGAGACCCCCAAGAGGCACCAAGAGGCTCCCCAGAGGCACCCAAGACGCTCCAAGAGGCCTCGGCGAGAATGCCAAAATCCTTGATTTTACTATGCGCTGGCCACATGTTGGCCTCCTGGGCGGGGACACTAATTAAGACGACTCCAAGAGCGCCTGGCAGAGCCCAATATGACCTCCAAGGTGGCTCATTATCTCCCAAGATGCCTCAAGATGAGGCCCCGAAGAGGCCAAAATCCTTCCAAAACCTTAGGACAATCAATGTGTTTGACTTTCTCGCCTTTTCGCTTCCGATGGCCATCCGAGGCCTCAGGATGGCTCAAAGATGGCCCAAGTGGGCTCCAAGAGAAGTTCAAGAGAGCCCCAAGACGGCGCCAAGAGCGCCCAAGAGCGCTCCAAGAGCGCCCCAAGAGCGCCCCAAGAGGCGACTTTTGGGGTTCCCGAGGGCAACGCAAATTAATGCTCCCCTCTTGTTTGATCGATGTCCTCCAAGATGGCCCCAAGAGCGCTCTCAAGGCTCCCAAGAGCGCTTCAAGAGGGACCCCAACAGGCTCCCAAGGCTCCCAAGAGGCCCTCAAGGCTCCCAAGAGGCGCCAAGGAGGCCCCAACAGGCTCTCAAGAGGCCTCTCCTGCCTCCTCCTTAGGCCTGAAGTGCGGGCCCCATAGGGAGGGGGCTCCCGCCTGAGACTTGCTCGCAATTCACTCACAGACGAGGTTCCCCGCTTGATATTTCCCCCATATTCAAACCTGAGGAACCCAAACGCAACGACAGTTACACGGATGAGAATGACAAGCTCGGATTACCAACATGAAGCGCGGGCCCCACAGGGAGGGGGCTCCCTCCTGAGACTTCCTCGAAATGCACTCACAGACGAGGCTCCCGCCGGATACTTCCCACATATTCAAGCCTCGCCTGATACTCCCCCCAGATTCAAGCCTCAGGGCTCCAAAATGATGACGAATACATGGATTAGGGTGGCCCGCTCGGATTAAAAAGCATAAAGCGCGGGCCCCATGGGGAGGGGGCTCCCGCGTGAGACTTTCTCGGAATTCAGGCGCAAACGAGCATCCCGCCTGATACTTCCTCCATATTCAGGCCTCAGGAGCCCAAACGTGATGACAAATAAATGGACTAGGATGGCCCGCTCGGATTACCAACATGAAGTGCGGGCCCCATAGGGAGGGGGCTCCCGCCTGAGACTTCATCACAATTCACTCACAGACGAGGCTCCCGCTTGAGACTTCCTCCAAAGGCAGGCCTCAGAGATCCTGCGTGGGGTGTCCAAAGAAAAGGATGTTGAGGGATGAGAGAGCATGTGTGTGATGTGCGATTGAATATGATGATGATGGCGGTGGTGGTGATGCTGATGATGATGCTCGGTGGTGATGGTGATCGATGATGAGTGACTGAGTATGGTGATGATGGTGGTTGTGATGTTGATCACCGATGGTGATGATGACCGATGACGGGGTGAATGAGTGAGTAACGCGGAGAGTGGGAGGGAGGTGAGGTTCCTGCGCAGAGGGTGTCCAGAGAAACCGAAATACCCACCTTGGATGTGGGGAATGAAGCGCGGACCCCAAAGGGAGGGGGCTCCCGCCTGGGACTTCCTCAACATTCACTCACAGAGGAGGCTCCCGCCTGACAGTTCCTCCATATTCAAGCCTGAGGAGTTCCTGCGCGGGGTGTCCAAAGAAAATGGTGCTGAGAGATGAGAGAGAGAGGGAGAGAGAGAGAGAGAGAAACAAAAAATGATATTGTGTGTGATGCGCGACTGAGTAGGATGATGATGGCGGTGGTGGTGATTATGATGATGATGCTCGATGGGCGATGGTGATGGTGATTGATGGAGAGTGACTGAGAATGATGATGATGGTGGTGGTGATGATTATGATACCCGATGGTGATGATGACCGATGACGGAGTGAATGCGTGAGTGAGGCGGAGTGGGAGGGAGGTGAGGTTCCTGCGCGGAGGGTGTCCAGAGAAAACAAGAACCCCACTTTGGGTGTGGGGAGAATGCGTACATACTTACATACATACATAAACGCACATAAACATACTCACACCCATACATGTATGTTAGCATGTGTGTAGGTATGTGGTGTAGTGTCCATGTATGCAGGTATGCATGCATTGAGTCACTTATTGATGTATCGATGTGCGCAGTTATTTATGTACGTATGTGTATGTAGTTCTTGATGTATTGATTGTGTAATATCTAGTGGTATTACTATTATTAACCACACATGTCTACAATTCAATTTGCATAGACAAAGAAACAGCCAATGCGTTGGCGCTTCGCGCCATGCATCTTGATCCTTCAAGTTTGGCATGCAGGCGGAACGGCAGGAAGACAAACAACTACAACTAACGATAACTCCTTGCTACCACTTCCGATGTCGATAATGTGATGTGTTATCCTACTCTCACGTTTTCTTTTCCCTGTCCTCATTCACGCCCTAATGTATACGAAAATAATTCCCCATCCTTCTCAGTCAATTTTGCGGAGGCTCCTCCTTGAAGAGCTTTCTGGGGGGCTCACGAGGAGTTTCTAGGAACTTCTTGGGACCTTCTGGAGGCTTGCAAACGCGGTTTCACCTAACGACAAGGTCACGATTTGGAGTGCTTCGGGGGGCGTCTTGGGGCTACCCTGGGCCGTCATAGGGGCTTTTTCTCGGGCTATCTCTGGGCCCTGCTGGACCCCTTTTGAATAAATTCGGTTCGATTTTCGGGCCTCTTCGGCGGTCCCGGACGCCTGGAAGACAGAAGAATAGAGGTCCCCCTACTCATGCAAAAACCATTCGGAAATCAAAACTTGGGGCTGTGGCGGGGCCGTTCGGCCGCCGCCCTAACCGATCTGGGCCTGTTGCCCAGGCCCTGCACGGGCTTCCAGGAACCCCGGAAAGCCCGGGGACCATTCTGCAATGGCGTCCAAAGGACCCCTGAGGCCACGTATCCAAGGGGTCCTGTTTTTTTGGGGCGGAGGGGGGGAGGGGGGGGGGCACGGACCTGGATCAGTCAAAATAAAGAAAGGGGAATCCTGTTTCAGAATGGAAGCTCCTCGACTCCCGCCGACAGAGCTCTCGCTCCCGGAGGATAGAACAACTCCACTTTCGATGTCGAAGCTCCGTTTTCAACGAAAACATTCACAAATTGAAAAATCTCCAGAATGCAGGTCGGACCTCCATCTTGAAAATGTTTGACCCTCTTAGTTGCTTCCCTCAGTACCCCTCTCCCTCATGACTATCGATTCCTCAACATGTGATGTCATTCATGGCTCATCGGTGATGGGCGATGCTGCTCTCGCGGTGTGTATATACATGTATATATAAGTATATATACATGTATATATACATATATATATATATACATAAGACTGTCCCAACTGGCCCAGAGAGGTGGTGCCAAGCATAATTACGAGCAGGAATATACCCCAAGATGGCAACTGCAGGTCGATAGATTCCTCGACAGCGCACGCACAGTCAACATCGAATCGGGGAATCGGGCCGAATCGGATTGTGCGTCGGATCGGGATGCATCGTCACTGAGACAAAATCGGATCGGACCGGCTGCGCCCCGATGCATTGCTACGCCGTGCAAGCATCGTGCCGCATCGGATCGCAAGAACAGCGAAACCGAATTGGACCGAGCCGTGTGGACTCAGCATCGCGTCGGACCCAGGCATTCCTCTGTTTTCAATGCAAGGTCCCCGAGGAGCTCTGGACCACTTCCCAGGGACCGGTTCTTCGGCCCAGATCGTTTTTAGACGGTCGTGGGGCCCTGCGAGGGCCCCCAGCTGCCGATCACGGCGAAGCACCTCCGTCTGGGGGGTCGAGCAAGTCTGGGGGTCGCGCAAGTCGGCCTGGGCCCTGCAAGGGGGTCGCCCCCGGGGCGCCCAAGAGGGGGGGGGGCACCAGCCTGTTACCCGTTATTCGCTACCTTGGATGTCCGAATCTTGGGAAGCAGGCGGGTGCTCACCTACTGGGGGAGGGAGGGGGGGGGGGGCAGCCCGCCCGGCCTGCGCGAGGGCGAGCGGCGAGCCGCGCGTGCCCAGGGTCAGGGCCGGGCCTCGGCGAGCCCGGGCTGCGCGCGGGACGCCGCGGGCCGCGCCGGCGGCCGGGAATAGGCTCGAAGTACACGGTGAGGGCATGGTGCACTTGGGCGTGGTGTGGGCGCGGCCGCCGAGGAGGCCCTCGCAAGCCCAGCCCCGAGAGCCCGCGCGCGAGATGCAGCCTCTGGCCAGCCTCTGCGGGAGACGTCCAGAGCACCCTGGACGCAGCAGCTTCTTCAGCGGCCGCGGGAAGTCCCCGCGCAGCGGGCGGACCGAAGGAACCCAAGGCACCCTGACGTAAAACACTCAGCTTCTTGATGCGCACCCCCACTGTGACGAACCCAGGGTCTGCAAGCTGGTGGGGCACCAACTGAGGCTTGGCCATGGATATCACCGCCGCCCTCCTCAGATAAGGAATGCTCCCGGGTCTGAAGCCTCCTGGGCACATTCCTTAACCAACGCGTTCCCCGTATACACCAAATCATCTGGTCAGCCGAGGAGCTCGGTGTACAGACGCCCCAGCTTCCCAACCTGTGGGGCGCCAGAAGGCGTCTGCACACACAGTTCCGTCGCCGAGCTCCCAGAGAGCTCCGTGGCCGATCTGAAGACGCGGTGTGTACATCGAGCCCCGCAGAGCGGCGGCGCCGCGCCCCGAGGTCGAGCCTCCGCCTTTGAAAGATTCTATTGTCTTCTGAGCAAGGATCTGGGTTCTGGAGAGGCGAGTCTGGCCAGCCACCATGCTCGGAAAAAGCATGGCCCCCACCATAAGCAATGCTTTTCAAAATGCGACTGATTCTTTGGTCCTCCTGGACAATTGCAACGAAACCCGACATAAGAGCGGGATCGAATGGCTCCGTTTGGCCATCCTCGCAAGTCACGCCCACATCTGAAATCCAAAATCGGAATGCGTGTCCCTATCAGGTGTCGCACAGGGCCTGGCGCATACATGCACGGATGAAGAAAGATCTGAGAGCATACAGCCCTTCGAGCCAGATACTTACCTAAATGATCTTGGGGCGCTCTGCTCAGTGCCTCGCGGTAGGCTGCGCTGAACAGACCGCCGAAGTTTAGGGGCGAGTGCGAGGGGCGAATGGGAGGATCGAGCGTGAGGGGCGAGTGTGAGCGTAGAGTGTTGTGTGTGTGTGAGTGTGTGGGCGCGTGTGTATGTAGGCAGCTACTATGTGCTCAGGCAGCTCGAGCTTAAGAGCCAGATCAGTTCGGTCAGGACTCGGATGCAAAGGAGGACTCGATCCACAACGCTATAGTGCACAATCGCGGCATGGCACATCGCAATTCAGCACGGCGCAGCACAGCAAAGCCCTCGGCACGGTACATCAAGATCGATCCACTCAGCATTACGTTTGCCCGTCGCCCAATCAGGTGTCTTTGAAACGTTGCCATGCCTTACATCTCTATATTCCTTTCCAGGTTCGTGGGTCGATCAGGTTTTCCTCCACGACAGGAGCTCCGGCAGCAATCGTGTCACGAGAAGCAAGGAGCAGGCGCATGCAAACCAAGAAAGCGCGGCGCTCGTGGAGCAAGACAGTCTGCCTTACTGACGAGGGTAGGCAGGTTTGGCGAGCAGCCATGCTAGCAACAGCATCAGCAACACGATTGCCTGTGATGAGCCAGGGTCACCACGAGGGGAATCGCCACTTCCTCGAGGAAGCGCCAACTCCTCGAGGACATGGGGCCCCCGGAACACCCCAGAGCCCACCAACACGACCCCAAACGTCCAAGAGCCTCCTCGAGCTCCGATCCTAGAACCCCGATCCTCAAGAGGAACTGGCGACACCCCTTGGCACTCCCCGAGGGCGGCCGACGGCGCAGCGCTGGAGAAAGCGGGGCTATCCCTTGACGAGGACAATTATCGTGTTGGGAGGAAGGGGTTGGGAAGATACCGAGCACGACTGTGTAATAGGCACCTTCAAACATACGCGGTAACCTTGATGACTCGTTCATTCTCCCGAACCCCTCTTCCCAACCCGATAATTGTCTTTCTGATCCCGGGTGGATCGCATCGGACGGCCCGGACCGAACCGACCCCACTGCGGACAGCCGTGCAGGCGCTGGGCGCTCGGAGGCATCGCGCAGCGGCGCTGAGCCCGCGGCCGCCGCCGCCGCCGTCCGCCGCCTCGGGGGGGCTGTTGGCCGGGCCGCAGCCGCAGTTGCTGCCCCCCCCCCCCTGGTTGGGCAGCCTTTCCACGGAGACCCCTCTCCCCACGGGGTCCTTTTCCCCAGGGACCGCCTTCCCCAGAGACTGCTTCCCCAGAGACTCCGAACCTCATCCTCTCTGTTGAACCAAACTTCTTTTCATGTTTAAAAGTGTTTCCCAACCATCCTGTGAGACAACGCCCCGCGTTCACTCACTCCTCCTCCTCCTCCTCCTCCTCCTCCTCCTCTTCTTCCTCCTCCTCCTCCTGCTCCTCCTCCTCCTCTTGTTCCTCCTCCTGTTCCTCCTGTTCCTGCTCCTGTTCCTCCTGCTCCCTCCTCCTCCTGCTTCTTCTGCTCCTCCTCCTCCTGCTCCTGCTCCTCCTCATCCTCGTCCTGCTCCTCCTGCTCCTCCTGCTCCTCCTGCTCCTCCTCCTGCTCCTCCTGCTCGTGCTCCTCCTCCTCCTGCTTCTCCTGCTCCTCCTCCTGCTCCTCCTCCTGCTCCTGCTCCTGCTCCTCCTCCTCTTCCTCCTGCTCATCCTCCTCCCCCTCCCCCTCCTCTCCTCCTCCTCCTCCTCCTCCTCCTCTCTCCCTCTCCTCCTCCTCCTCCTCCTCCTCCTCCTCCTCCTTCCTCCTCTTCTTCTTCTTCGTCTTCTTCATCCTCCTCCTCCTCCTCCTCTTCCTCCTCCTCCTCCTCCTCCTCCTCCTCCTCCTCTCCCTCCTCCACCCACTCCGTTGGCACACTCCTCGCGCGCTTCGTGGCTTCATGGGGAGCTCCTTCGAAGGCCCCAATGGCCATGTCCGCATCCGGCCGCCCCGCTCATGTCGGCACACCCCTCACGCGCTCCGTGGCCTCATAGGGAGTTCCAGCGAGTGGCCACATTCGGCCGCCCCACTCATTTCGGCACACCCTCACACGCTTCGTGGCCTCGGAGGCGGTGCCCACATGCGGCCGCTCCACCCATTTCGGCACACCCGTCGCACGCTTCATGGCCCTATAGGGAGCTCCCCCGAAGGCCCCAGAGGCGGTATCCACTTGCTGCGTACGGAGGTTGACGACCAATGAGTCGAACCTACCGTGGGTCCATGGGAAGAGGACGATTGGGGAGAGAGAGAGAGAGAGAGAGAGAGAAAAAAACAAAAAAAGAAAACATGTTTTTCCCATGCGCCGCGGGCGAACGGCGCGAGCCCCATCCTATAGGATTGTCCGCTGTCCAATACCTGAGCCGAGAGGATAGCAGGATAGATCGATTGGACGGTGGCACGAGCGGTCTTCTCTCTCTCTCTCTCTCACACAAACACACACACACACACTCACACCGTCCCGAATCCTGCCCGCTCCACGTGGGCCTCGGGCCCACGGGAAACAGAGACGGGACTCGGGAACAGAGTTGTATGGACCACTCAAAACACCCTTCCATCCCCTGCGACCCCCAAACGGGCCCCCCCTTGGCTAAGAGAGTAAGAAGGAACCAGCCACGCAGCACGGGGTACATAGGGGAGTCTACCCGTCTTAGCGTGCCGAGGGCGCGTGCCCCAAAAACGCTTGGGCACACCTCGACGACCCCCCGTCACCACAGGCTACGGGGTTGGGAGAGTAAGAGAAAGGAGAAGGGAACGTCCTGCGTCAAGTGCACGACTAAAGTACAATGACGCAGGTGTTTCCACCGGCACACAAAGTCCTGTGCGCTGGCATGCGCGAAAAATGCATATTTTGCTCAAATACCATATGCAATGAAATGTATGGGTGCGTAGCATCCCGAAACGTGAATTCAGAAGTGTATGCGTGATCGAAGTTGTGACGACAACGGATCAACATAAAAGGCAATGCAGCGATTCATTCGCAAGGCGCTCCAGGTCCTAAAATACTATCTCGAAACATATGGGTGCGAAACATTCCAAAGAAATAGCCGGACGAAAGACCCAAACATACGCAGTTGCGAGTACCGCATTACGGGTACCGGTTTCGGTCGAACTCCCTATGGGGCCACGAAGCGCTGTCCTGAGTGGCGTTGACGCAGGCGGACTGTGCCACTGGAGCCTTCGGTGGAGCTCCGTATGGGGCCACGAACCGCTGTCCTGGGTGGCGTTGACGCGTGCGGCCTGTGCCACTGGCGCCTTCGGTGGAGCTCCCAATGGGGCCACGAAACGCTGTCCTCGGTGGCGTTGACGCATGTGGCCTGTGCCACTGGAGCCTTCGGTGGAGTATGGGGCCACGAAGCGCTGTCCTAGGTGCCGTTGACGCATGCGGCCGGTGCCACTGGAGCCTTCGGTGGAGCTCCCCATGGGGCCACGAAGCGCTGTCCGGGGTGGCGTTGACGCATGCGGCCTGTGCCAGTGGAGCCTTCGGTGGAGCTCCGCATGGGGCCACGAAGCGCTGTCCTGGGTGGCGTTGACGCATGCGACCTGTGCCAGTGGAGCCTTCGGTGGAGCTTCCCATGGGGCCACGAAGCGCTGTCCTCGGTGGCGTTGACGCATGTGGCCTGTGCCACTGGAGCTTTCGGTTAAGCTCCCCATGGGGCCACGAAGCGCTGTCCTAGGTGCCGTTGACGCATGCGGCCGGTGCCACTGGAGCCTTCGGTGGAGCTCCCCATGGGGCCACGAAGCGCTGTCCTGGGTGGCGTTGACGCATGCGGCCTGTGCCATTGGAGCCTTCGGTGGAGCTCCGTATTGGGCCACGAAACAATCTCCTGGGTGGGGCCTGTGCCACTGGCGCCTTCGGTGGAGCTCCCAATGGGGCCACGAAGCGCTGTCCTGGGTGGCGTTGACGCATGCGGCCTGTGCCATTGGAGCCTTCGGTGGAGCTGTGCATGGGGCCACGAAACGCTGTACTGGGTGGGTGGAACGCAGGGAGGTGACGAGGCGGATGGGAGGAGGGAGGAGGGGCACGAGGAGAGGAGAGGAGATGAGAGGAGAGGAGAGGAGAGGAGAGGAGAGGAGGAGGAGACGCGGGGCGCTGTCTCAACAAGGACCCAACACCACATAAAAGGTTGGGACATATCATCAACTTTATGCACGTGATTAAAGTTGTGTCAACAACTGATCAACATGAAAATGTTCAATCGTACGGGCACTCCAAGCCCCAACATACTTGTGAAATATATCCGTCATCGATCGGGGAGGATAATATCACTCAGAAGTGCCATGGTGATCGTGTTTTGCATAAGTCGTTCCGTTCGGGAACCGACATCCCATGACATCCATGGTATGATAATATTATGTACGATATCTGCGGCGGGCGACCTGCCTGGGTGCGTTCATGCCCATAATGCCACATAAAAACCAGATTCGAAATCATTGAACCTGTTTGTGACATAGAAATACCATGTATATATCCAAGCAGCAGTCGTTCGAATGTCACTGTAAATATCGCACCTGACAACTCAATCAACGAAACATATTTTGATCAGGGTATGCGGGATCCCAAGTACGATTGCTACGATTCTCAGATTGTCCAACAATACGAATAGCAATACTAGCAACCCAAATGTATTCAACAATTCTCATCGATCTAGGTCCAGTTGTTCAGACAATGCGACCAGCGGCGGTAGTGCTCGATATTGTAGCGCCACCGCGCCTCTGGGAGCGCCCTGCGGGTGCCGCATCGAGCGCGCCTGCCAGTCATGCGCCGCGAGCCTTGCGGCAGGCGCGGCGGCGCAATCGGCCTCCGCGCTCCCGCCGCGATCGGCGCGGCAGGCCCCGCCGCCCCAGTCTGCGTCGCCAGGGGCAGGGCCGCCAGAAGACGCCGCGCCCGAGGAGGGGGCAGCGCCCATGGCAGGCCCGTGGCGGCCCGGCGGCGATGGAGAGGGTGGCGGGGTAGATCGGGGGTCGGCGACCAGAACAATCCCGTTCCCGAAGGTTTCACCCCCCGCAGTGGTCGCAGCTGCGTGAAGCCTCGCTCTGAGCTGCGCCAAGGTTACGCGGTCCTGACCCGTCTCGCCGATCTAAAGAGCGCCCGCGCACATCTTGCAGATGTGCTCATCGAGATTGGCAAGGCGGTCGGTGCAAGCTACTGTGTCCGCCTGAATTTCGGGTGCTCCTGCCTGGGCCAGCATCTCAATCCGCTCGCGGGAGTTCCCACGGGCGCTCAACTCGCGACCGGGATCGCGGAGGGCCTGATCGGGGATCGCACGAGCGCCATCGGTGGCCAGATCGACGGAAAGAGATTCGCATCTCTTGTCGGTCATCTAACCGAGGAAATCACCCATCGCAATGTGTCCGCGAGATCGGCGCGCTGAGGCAGCGCCAAGATGCTCGGTCATGATCTGCTCGGTCTGCTCCACGAGGGCCGCCTCGTACGCAGCCCCCCTTCGCCCTGCAGGATGCCGTTGCTATCGGCACGGGATATTTCGACGATATGTTCCTGAGTTGGGGCGGCCGCGGAAGCGGAGCTTCCTGGGTCAGGCTTGGGCCCCGGAGACTCAGGGGACCCCTCGGCGTCGATCTCCGCAGATGGGCGCGGAGGATGATTGGCGTCAGCCGTGGAGATAGGTACGCCAAGTTGCCGCGCGCGCGCGGGGCTGCCGTCCGACCGATCCTGCCGCAACGGGAATGTTGACTGAAGATATCCCCGGAGCGACACATCGGCCGCAATCGAGTCGCCCCGCAACTTTCGCAATGCACAGAGTCTCGGATGATTACAGCCCCAGGAGCTATGGCGCGAGAGATCTTTGACAACGCGCGCGCGCGAACGGATGGGGGGACCGAGAGAGGGAGAACGCGGGCAGGCGACAGCAGCGACGCAGGCCTGGCAATCTTAGCGGTCTGCGGCGTCTTCTCGGCCTCCGGGGCAGCGGTGGGGAGAATGAGCGATGGCTCCAGAAATTTCTGCCAAAGGTGGGCCTCCTTAGGCTCAAAATGTTAATCATCATGTTAGCAACCTGTCTTCTGTGCTACATATTTGAACCGCGTTTGTCCCTGTCGGCATGTCTCCGTAACCCAACCCAAGTTGATGCGATGAGTGCGATGAAGACGACGAAGTGCGGGCGCGCGCCCTTTCTGTACTATCGCAAAGACAAGCTGGTTTCCTCCGCCACAATGAGATGCACCATCGGAGGCGGCGGTGGCGCGGTGGGGGAACGCGGGGCATGTAGCGCGATATCTTCGCGCAAGATGTTTGATGATGGCGTTGGCAATGGTGGCGCAGCTCGCGTCGATGTCCTGGGGCCGGGAGAAGAGGCGCGCGTTGGCGGCGCCTTCCGTGGGCGCGTCTTGCGTCGCATCTTCTCGGCTGCCATGGGCGCGCTAGCGTTCCCCCCTCGGCGTGGGTCGCGAATCGCGGCTTCCCAAAAGGAAAGCAAAGGTGGACCTCCAGTGCGCAAAGCCGCGTCAAAACCCACGATCTCGGACTCCGTGGACGAATGCGATACGACGCTTTGCTTCTGGCACACAGCGTTGAGCGGGGAAAAAACGGCGGGGCCCACTGGCGCGACGAAGACGCCGGCGGTCGACTTTGAGCTGTCGACGCAGTCCGCGAAGGAGGCATCGGCGAAGATGGAAATGTTGCCCGATCTGTCGCCAATCCAACGTAGGCAATGTGTGCGCGTAGACATCCGATGACAGAACAGTCGATGCAAGCGCCTATCGCATGCATCCTTCCATTTGGTGATCTCTAAGGCCAACGCGCAGACTGGGTGCGCGAGATCAAACCTGCAGCGGCGGGCCAGGTGCAATATTTCCATCCGGACACCCGCTGCGCCAGGTCCGGGTGCGCCTTCATCATTGCAATCCCGCGCTGAGAAGGCCACGTCGTCGATGCCGGGGGCGTCGGCGCGTGGGAGATCGCCGCGCGCGACGCGCATCGCGTCACTCGTGGGTTTACAGCTGATGCGCAATATCTGGACGTGGGTTTTGCAGCCGACGCGGAAGATCGAGGCGAGGGCGAGCGTGACTTAGGCGAGGGCAACCTTTCTCTCCTCGAGCCAGGCATGCCAAGTAGCTTGGACACGCGCTCGAAGTACCGAGTAACGCGCTGGTCAGCAACGCCATGCATGTCGTGTCGAATCCCACGAACGTTTGATGCAGATGTGTATTGCTTGGTGTCGTGCTCCGGTAGCATGGGTCGGATCGTGGCAATGCGTTTGCCGAAGACGCTTTGTGGTACTTTCCATGTGTCCTGACCGCAGCCCAAGTCGTGATCGCGCGGAGTAGGTGGGTCGATCTCAATGCCACTGTGCCGTATCAAGCCCCGTCCTAACTTCAGGTTGGTTCCGGGACCTGCCATCTTGAAGTCATCGACGCAGACGGATACAATGATATTCAACTTGTCATACTGTCAGACGCATTCCCATCCAGGGATAGGTCGAAACCCCACTGACCCCAGACAAGCACGGCAGCGTCGCCTCCACAATGCGCCCGCCAACGGGTGGCCGTAGAGAGCGAGGCGTAGTCGACAAACGGGATTCTCGCATCTGGCCCAAGAGGTAGGCTGTCGCCATTTGGGCGGGGTACCCACTTGTCAACGCGATCGATTCGACCGTCACCGCAGAGCAAGGCCTGCGCGTAGACCCCGGGCGCATCGCTTGGTTCGCCACCGCTGTCCAGTAGCAGTGCTGCGGCAGCACGCAACTTGGAGGCTTCAGTATGTGAAGCACTGGAAGCGGCGTCAGCGAACACAGCGTCTTTCATGTTGTCGCCCTGGACCACGGCGCAGCCTCCGTGCTGAAGCTCCCGGGGTAGTTCTGCATGTTTGACAGCAGACAGTCCTAGTGCGTCAGCGAAGTGAACGGTATTTCCGGTCCTGTGTGCGTCCTTTCCGCGTCGTCGCGCTCCATGACCGTTCCGACCGTCCAAATTTTCTTCTTTTCCAGTCGTTCATATTCTTTGCGAAAGTCGCATTGCGCTCGTGGTTCTGCCGCGACTTCCTTTTTGGCGAGGTTGCGGGCGGCGAGACATGGGCGTTCCCAGTGAGTCGTCTCGAGCTTGTTCCCGCGTTCCTGACGGTCGACCGGCGCGCGCGGCGTCGCAGGTGCTGCATCGTCGCTGTCCAGCAGCGCAAACGAGCGTGCAGCGCTCGCGGGAATCGCTCCCGGCTGCGGACGGTAGTTTAAGACAGCGGTGATGTCGCGCGGTCCATCAGGGAGGGCGGCGCGACATGTTGTTGTCGGTAATGCTCTTGGCGCTTTCGTCTCTCGTGACGGCGTTGTGATGTAGATCGTAAGTTGCGCGTCATTCCACGGCGTTCCATGTTGAGCCGCCGTCGCCGTTGGTTCGGAAGCGACGAGCACGTCTATCTGTTCAGGTCCAAACGCGAAGAGCGGATCGATTGCGCATCTTCCGCGCTCGGAGAATATCTTTGGCGAACTCTCTCTTCGGCCTGTCGCTCTTCCGTGGGCGCGGCGTTCCAGAAACTGGGCAAGACGCGGTCTGGCCGGTGCGTGGCCTGGACGCGGGCCCGGCGACCAAGTGCAGTCATCTTGCCGTCTGGGGCGATCTCGGGCCGCCCGTAGAAGCGAATGATTCCGGTTCGAGGCTGACCGAGGTGGCGGCGGTCATTCTCACTCGCGCCATCCCACGCATCGCGGAAATACTACTCGCCCTCAAAAGTCAATGCAATCACGAAGTTAAGGATGACGTCTAGCTTGTCTTTCGGGACAGGGACCCCGATCACATCGTCGGTGAGACGAAAAAGCTGAATGCGAGGTGTGCGGATGTGTCGTAGGATAGCCGCGCCGCGTTGCCCCTGGTAATCAGGCTCGGGAGCTGGAACCGCTGGCTCCGTTGCCTCGGGAAGGTCTGTTTGGGGGAGCAGTGCTCTGGGGTCGGAAGCTTCAGGAAGGTCTGGTTCGGGAAGCTTCGCGATGCTGAGGTCGTCTCATTCAGCTGGGCATAATAATATTGGGTCGTCTTTGACCGGTTCTCCTAGCGGGCAAAATGTCTGACAAACTATCAACTCATGTGCTTCCGGGTTGTGGTGTCGGGGGATGCCTTCTGGGACGGGGAAAACGTACCTGCCGTCCGGGATCGCAATGTTCTTGACTCGATGTACGTGGCAATGCTCACCATCACGGTGTTTGGCGTATGTGGCCGCGTCTATGACGAGGTAGTCACCAAACCGGCGACCGCCAGAGTGAAGATGGTATCCCATGAACAAACCTTCTCGCGTTGTCTCATCAAACTTTGCGGCAGACTTGTTAATGTCGGGATAGAGGCATTTCCAAAAGATACGAGCACCAAACGGGACGATGTGCCCCCTGAAAGATTGATTCTCCGAAGTGAACTTCATGTGGCGTGTCGTATTTTCAGGCTTCCTGTGCGGCAGCAACTCCGTGGTTTAGTAATGAAGTTACGGCCACAACACCACGCCTGCATAGCCTCTTTCCACTATTCATGACCCAAGCCAGAGTTGTGGAGCATCGCGCAGGTACCCTGTTAACTGACTTGACAGCACGCTCGGCCATTCCAATGGTTTGTGGCCGATGTGGCGTGCTGGTGTCGTGCCGCCATCCCAAGAGACGGTGCATGCCTTCAGTAGCTCGCCAGAGTTGTCGGTGTAGATGTGCTGCACAACATCATTAGGGGCCAGGAGCTCGAGGAAGGATGCCTTGGTGGTCTCGGCGTCCTTGTGCTTCGCTGGATATGCGATATGCCATGATGGCCCCTGTGAACTTGTCCAATACAACTAAGACGTACTTGTCACCATATTCATCGGCGGCATCATCTGCAGCGCGGACGATGCGGTCGGCAGTCAGAGCCTCACCGAATCGCTTGGGAACGAATGCCTCGTATTGAGCGTTTTCCTCGGTGGGCTGCGTTGGCGGATTGGGTTTGTGCTTACGTCGGCATGGCGTGTTGTGCGCCAAGATGCGTGCACATACCTCACAGTCGGGGCGCTTCGGACTGTGAGTGATGTAATGCATGAGGTCGATGGGTGGCCGAGGTCGGCCAGGTAGCAACGTATCGCGCGCTGGTGGCGTAGACGCGGGTGTGCCCACCTGCGCTGAGGCACGGGGCGTCTGGTCACTTTCTGGCGGCGTAGACGCGGGTGTACCCACCGGCGCAAGGGAACGTAGCGTTTGGTCGCGTGCTGGCGGCGTAGACGCGGGTGTGCCCACCGGTGCAAGGGCACAGAACGTCTGGTCGCTTGCTGGCGGCGAAGACGCGGGTGTGCCCACGGGCGCAAGGGCACGGAGCGTCTGGTCGCTGGCTGGCGGCGTAAACGCGGGTGTGCCCACCAGCGCAAGGGCACCATCTACGCAGCACCTACACATGTAAGGGTACTGATCATCATGTCCATCTCGTCGTACTCGTCGTGGACGTCGTGGTGCTTGCGGTGTGGTCCACAACTGAGGCGGTGGCATCCGTTCAATACTGTTGAAGTCGAGTTCTGGGATGCGGTTATTGACAATAACCCTGTACCATTGACCACGTGTGTCCTGTAGGACGCTACCCTTTTGTGGACTCCATAGTTGTAGGAAGCCGTCGTCGTGTTCAAGTTGTCCCACTGATAGTACCGAGGGGCAGCTGTCCAGTGCAAGGGCGGAGCTGGAAAGCCCAATGAGTGGTAGCTGCAGTTGGATATGCTCGTTGACGATCCTGTCGCAATTGGCTGTTTCCAGGATGTGTTCGCGTCCAAAATGCACGTCAGTGGTTTCCTGTTGTGTGAGGTCGGCCTTGTCCTGGATGTGGTGAGCGGAGCCACTGTCCAAGATACACGTCCGTGACAACGCTGCGGTGGACCGCGTCGTCGTGGTAGACTCGGTCGTGGGTGTTGCCACCGACGCTGGGCTGTCGTCGGGTGGCAGGGCTGGTACCGTGGTCAGTCTGGATGGGGTGGTAAGGTCATCGCGCCACTTCTGCGCCTCGAGCTGAAAGGCTTGAGGCGCCTCGGCGCTGTCCTGCAGCCGCCAGTCCGGTAGCGGGTCGGGCACAACAACGGGGTCATCCTCGTTGGCTTCGGCGCACAATTTGGCCATGTGCCGTGTGGGCACAGGGTAGGTGATGACGTCGATGTTGTCGAGGTCGAAACGTAAGTGCTGTGGTCGTTGCTCTGTGATGGTGCTCGTAGATGTGATTACCCGACTGTTTTCGCGGGTCACGTATGTTCGGTCTCGTCGTTGGCCATGTCGTGGTGCTGCAGCTGCTGGAGCCGCTTGACTTCGTCGACAGTTAGGTACAAGACGGTATGCGCGCATAACGCATGGGTTTGAAAACTCTTGACGCGCTCCTGAACGACTGAATCCCACGAAGCCCATGCCAATGGCGTGCCGAAACAATCAGTGAACGCCTTCTCCTCAGCATCCTTGTCTGGACCAGGGACTCTGATGTACCGTTTTGGTGGAATGGCCGCATTTCTTACCAACGGGGCTGAAGCATGGTGCTAATGTCACAATGTGACACTTTTGACTGCTACACGCTGGCCTCTGGCCACAGACCCCGAAAAGGCCATCCAGACGAAACATGAAGCCAGAAACAGCAGCTCCGTTTCAGACCTTCTGGGGACCTGCCCAAACCAGCCACCCCTGCACTGCCTGGCTCAATGCCCCAAAAGCCCCCAAGCCCGCTGCCGCCCCTACAGCGCGAAGTCGGATCCACGCGGCAACGCACCTGGAAAATTGCAAGACTCCCTCCCGCGACAGAAAGCTGGAGGAGGAGGCTGCCAGGGTATGACAATTGCGTCCTGTTCATCATCAGCATCATCATCATCATCATCATCATCATCATCATCATCATCATCAGCAGCAGCAGCAGCATCATCATCATCATCATCAGCATAAAAATCATCAGCAGCATCATCATCATCACCATCATCAGCATCAGCATCAGCATCAGCATGAGCATCAGCACCAGCACCAGCACCAGCACCAGCACCAGCACCAGCACCAGCACCAGCACCAGCACCAGCACCAGCACCAGCACCAGCACCAGCACCACCATCACCATCATCATCATCATCATCATCATCATCATCATCATCATCATCATCATCATCATCATCATCATCATCATCATCATCATCATCATCATCATCCTTGTCGTCATCGTCAAGGATCGAGGGTGAAGGATCGAAGGTGGAGGTCGTTGTCGCCGCCGCCGCCGCCGTCACTTCTATGAGCCCGCCGGCCTTGCACGACACCACGCCGCGCACGCCGCCCGCGCGGCGCGCGCCACGCCGGCGGGCCGCCACGCCGCAGGCGCCCAAGGCGAGGAGGCCGCCCGCGACCGCCGGTTGCGCGGGCTGCGGGGCCAGCGCGCTTGTTGTGGCGTCGAGACGGCGGCGACGGCGCCGGCAACGCAACGACGACGACGAAGGTGATTTTGTGTTCTGAGATTTCTGCGGGTTCTCGTCGTCGCTGCTGCACACGACCCGACGAGCTAGCCAGGATGGACCCTGGGAGGTTCCGGGACCCGTTTTGGGCGGATCTTGGCCAAACGACGACGCTGGCGGCACCAGCGGCGATGCCGAGGGCAGCGGTGCCGATCGCTTTTAGCGGCGACGGCGGCAACGGCAGCGGCGGCGGTGGCGGCGGCGACGACGAGGGAGGATCGATGTTTTGAAGCGTTGTTCCCGGAAAGGGCCTGAGCCCAGGGTTCTCTTTTAGTTTTGTTCCCCCCCGGTCCCGACGGCTGTAGGGCAGGGGAAATTATTCTGCGATAGATAACGAAGTCGCGTAGGGCTGGCGAAGTAAGAAGTTGAGGATGTCCCCAGCGAAACGGCTGTTTTATATAAGTTTGTTGAGGATGTCTCAGGCAGAACGCTGGTTTTGCAGAGTTGGGGGATGTCTCGAGCAGGGGCCTCGTGGGGGGCCAGAATTCAGAGGATGTCTCAGGCGAAATGTTTGTTTTCACGTGTGCAGGTCGGCCAGGGGGGTATCTAACATCGTTGTCACTCGCTGGCGCCCCAGACGACCGCATGTTGGATATCCCCCATGGGTGGGCTGGTACCATGAATTTTTACGTGTGCAGGCCGGGGTATCCAACATGGTGGCCCCGAGCTGGAATCACGTGTTTTCACGTGTCCAGGCCACTCAGGGGTGTATTCTAACATGGTGGTCCCGAGCTGGAACCACATGTTTTTACGTGTTCAGGCCACCGAGGAGGGATATCTAACATGGTGGTTCTGCGCTGGAACCGTGTGTTTTCACGTGTCCAGGCCACCCAGGGGGGTATCTAACATGGCGTCGGGCCCAACGCCGAATTATCAGGAAATGCACGGGGGGCGAAAAGCGCTACCCGAACACATATCCCAGAACAGAAAAGTTCTGTTTTCTTGCTCTGGACAGGGGGTAGCGCTTTGGGGGCCTCTCCAGGGAAGACATTGCGAGGATGTCTCGAGCAGGAGCGCGAGTTCATCTTATCTAACATGGTTTCTCCCGAGCTAGAACTACGTATCTTTACATGTCCAGGCCACCCCAGGGAATATCTAACATGCTTGTCCCGAGCTGGAGCCACGTGTTTTCACGTGTCCAGGCCACCCCAGGGGGGTATCTAACATGCTTGTCCCGAGCTGGAACCACGTGTTTGAACGTGTCCAGGCCACCCAGGGGGATACCTAACATGGTTGTCCCAAGCATGAACCAAGCATTTTTGACGTATCCAGGCCACCCAGGGGGGTATCTAACATGATTGTCCCGAGCAAGGACCACGTGTTGTAACGTGTCCAGGCTACTCAGGGGTGAATCTAACATGGTTGTCCCAAACTGACACAACGTGTTTTTACGTGTCCAAGCCACCCAGGGAAATCTAACATGGTTGTCCCGAACAAGGACCACGTGTTTTAACGTGTTCAGGCCACCCAGGGGTGTATCTAACATGGTTGCCCAGGGCTGGTCCCACGTGATTTTACGTGCCCAGGCCACCCAAGGGGGTCTCTAACATGATTGTCCCGAATTGGAACCACGTGGTTTTGCGTGTCCAGGCCGCCCAGGTGAATATTTAACATGGCGGAGCCAAGTGCTTTAACGTGTCCAGGCCACCTATGGGGGTATCTAACATGGACCTCCTGGGGCCTTCCTGGGGGCCTGGAACGCGCGCCCAACATGAAGATGTGTTAGGGGATGTCTCGAACGCACAACTTGATTTCACGTGTCCAGTTCGCCCAGGCGGATGTCTAGCATGAGGATGAGTTGACGATGTGTTGAGCGAAACGCTTGTTTGCACGTGTCCTGGTCGCCCAGGCGGATGTCTAGCATGAGGATTTGGGCAAGCTGTCTCGAGCGAAACGATTGTCCCCAACACGTTCCGTAGCGCGTCCCCTTGGCACGTCCCGCGGTGCGTCCCCGTGGCACGTCCCGTGGCACGTCCCGTGGCGCGTCCCGTGGGACGTTCCGCGGCGTGTCCTCCTGGTATGCTCCCCTGTCTATTAGCGCTGGGGCAGCTACTATGTGCTCAGGCAGCTCGAGCTTAAGACCCAGATCAGTTCGGTCAGGACTCAGATGCAAAGGATGACTCGATCCACAACACTATAGAGCACAATCGCGGTATGGCACATCGCAATTTAGCACGGCGCAGCACAGCAGCCCTCGGCACGGCACATCAAGATTTCACTCCGCATTGCAACCTGGCACGTTCTTTGGCACGTTCCGCGGCGCGTCCCGTGGCGAGTCCCCCTGGCACGTCGCGCGGCGCGTCCCCTGGCACGTCCCGTGGCACGTCCATTGGCACGTTCCGTAGCGCGACCCCTTGGCACGTCCCGCGGTGCGTCCCCATGGCACGTCTCCTGGCACGACCCCTGGCGCGTCCCTGAGGACATTCCGCGGCGTGTCCTCCTAGTGAGTCCCACTGTCAATTAGCGCTGGGGCAACTACTATGTGCTCAGGCAGCTCGAGCTTAAGATCCGAGTCAGTTCGGTCAGGACTCAGATGCAAAGGAGGACTCGATCCACAACGCTACAGAGCACAATCGCGGCATGGCACATCGCAATTCAGCACGGCGCAGCGCAGCACAACCCTTGGCACGATACATCAAGATCGATCCACTCAGCATTGCAATTGCCCGTCGCCCAATCAAGTGTCTTGAAAACGCTGCCATGCCTTACATTTCTACATTCCTTTCCGGGTTCGTGGGCCGATCGTGTTTGGAGCAGAAAAAAAAGCTTGCCTGGGAACGCGGTTCCGTGACACGTCCCGTGGCACGTTCCCCGACGCGTTCCCTGGCACGTCCCCTGGCGCGCCTGGCACGTTCCCTCGCACGTTCCGTGACGCATCCTGTGGCGAGTCCCCCTGGCACGTCGCGCGGCGCGTCCCCTGGCACGTCTCGTGGCACGTCCATTGGCACGTTCCGTAGCGCGACCCCTTGGCACGTGCCGCGGTGCGTCCCCATTGCACGTCCCCTGGCACGTCCCCTGGCACGTCGCCTGGCGCGTCCCTGGGGACATTCCGCGGCACGTCCAACTGGCATGCACCCCTAACACCGCCCCATATGCAATTGAGGTCCTCAGAAACGGTTCCATGCCTCGCAGTTCTCAATCCCTTTCCAAGTTCGTGGGTCGAACATGTTATCAAAACATGCGTTTCGCGCGTGCCCGCTCGAGAAAAGGTGCCCCCCATTTCGGATCCGTGATAAATAACAAGGTCCGCTGACCTTGGTTTCCCTCGTGAAAAAAGAAAATTCGGAAGGTGTTCCGCAGAATCCGTGATAAAAAGGTGGTCTGGAGACCGTAAAATCTTACAACAAAATGTGGAAGTGTTAACTTGTCCCGGAAACTGCGTCGGCCCAAGGTTCTCTTTTAGAGGCTTACCGCCCAGAATCGACTTGAAGCGGGCCGGCGGAATCAAATACAAATGTGTTTCTTAATGGAACAGATCAGTTTTTCGAATGCCCGCTCGAGGAAAGGGCGCCCCCCATCTCGGATCCTCGATAAATCACAGGGTCCGCAGACCACCGTTTTCACTCGCTTGTGTGCATAATCCCCGAAACATGTTTCTCCGAAAACGAAACATAAGTGATTTTTCGCGTGCCCACTGCGTCCTGCGCGCACATGTCTCGAGGATGTCACGAGCAAAACGCTTGTTTTGCATAACTTGGGGGGTCTGGGCGCCCCAGTCTGGCCAGGCGGTTCTGGGAGCGCAGAGGCACCGTTATGCACCAGGGATCGGGCCATGGGAGCGCGGACGCAGTTCTATTTCCAAGGGATCCTGGCCCTGGGAGCGCGGACACAAATGTAATTTACAATGGATCCTGGCCCCTGGGGCGCGGAGACAATGTAATTCACAAGGGGTCGCGGCCCTGGGAGGGCGGAGGCGGCGTAATGTACTATGAACATTGGCTCTGGGAAGCATAATGTACGAGAGAAATTTGGCCCTGGGAGCGTGAATCCCGCGTGATTTACGAAGGATATTCGCCCTGGGAGCGCGCAGCGTAATTCACGAGGGATTTTGGCACTGGGAGCCCGAACCCCGAATAATGTACGAGGGATCGTGGCCCTGGGAGCGTGCATCCTTCGTAATGCACAAAAGATCTTGGCCCTGGGAACGCGAACCCAATGTAATTTACGAAGGAGGTCTTGGCACTGGGAGCGCGAATCTCGCGTAACTTACAAGGGATCGTGGCCCTGGGAGCGCGCATCTAGCGTCATGTACGAAGGATCGTGGCCCTGGGAGGATCGCCGCTCTGTGAGCGCGAACCCAACGTAATTTACGAGGGACTGTGGCCTTGAGAGCGCGAATCCAGCGAAAATTGCGAAGGATCGCGGCCTTGGGCGAAAGTGCTCTGAAAGCACGTCGCGCGGCGTGTCCCCTGGCACGTCCGTGCACGTCCACTGGCACGTTCCGTAGCGCGTCTCCTTGGCACGTCCCGCGGTGTGTCCCCATCGGCACGTCCTTTGGCACGTCCCCTGGCGCGTCCCTTGGGACGTTCCGCGGCGCGTCCCCCTGGCATGTCCCGCGGCGCGTCCCCGTGGCACGTCCCTTGGCGCGCCCCCGGGTACGTTGCTGTACGGCACGGCACAGCGCAGCGCAGCACAACACAGCCCCTGGCACAGTATCATCCACATCGATCTCTTCAGCAATGCCACTGCCCATCGCCCAATGGAGATCCTTTGAATCGTTTCCATGCCTCGCGGTTCTAATCCCTTTCTGGGTTCGTGGGTCGATCATGTTTGCGTCCCCGCTCGAGGATGGCGCGTCCTGCGCGCAGAAGTGTTGAGGACGTCTCGAGCGAAACGTTCGTTTTGGAGAAGTGGGGAAGCCGTCCCTTTCGCCCCAATGCTTTTCGCTTCAGGGTGGAGCGGAACAAGCGTGAAACCACGTGGGTCCCTCTCGCCTCAGGGCGTGGCAAGCGTGAAATCACGTGGGTCCCATTCGCCTCAGGGCAAAACAAAGGTGAAAACACGTGAGCCCCATTCGCCTCAGGGCGGAGCAAGCGTGAAAGCACTCCCTTACGCTTGCTCCGCTCTGGGACACAAGGGGCCCACGTGGTTTCACGCTTGCTGCGCTCTGGGGCGAAAAGGGCCCACGTGTTTTCATGCTTATTCCGCTCTGGGTCGAAAAGGACCCCACGTGTTGTCACGCGTCCTGGCCACCTATGGGCGACCCCATCCCTCCCAAACGTGAGGGAGGGCACACAAGCCGAGCACACTCAACGAATCGGCACTAGATGCATAGTCACTTGGCCCGTTCCGTCTTGGGGCTCTGGGGAGGCCTCCTAGGGCTTCCTGGAAGAGACCCATGTGTGTTTCACGCTTCTTGCCTTCTGGGGCGAAAAATACCCACGTGTGTTCACGCCGCTCTGGGGCGAAGAAAGGGACACATGCAATTTCACGCTTGCTGCGCTCTGGGGCGAAAAGTACCCATGTGTTTTCACGCTTGCTGTGCTCTGGGGCGAAAAAAGCCCACGTGCTTTCATTATTGTTCTGCTCTGGGGCGAGCTTGCTCCGCTCCGGTGCGAAAGGGGCATACGGTTTCACGGTTGCTGCGCAATGGGGCGAAAAGGACCCACGTTGCGCCCACCCAGAACGCGACAATTGCGAAGATTCCGAGCCTCTGGGCCTCCTACCGCGTGTTCCGCCCACTCCAGCACGCGACAACTGCTAGGATTCTGAGCCTCTGGACCTCCTCCCGCGTGTTGCCGCCCTCCTCCTCCCGTCAGAACGCAACACTTGCGAAGATTCTGATATTCTGGACCTCCTCCTGCGTGTTCCGCTCCTTCCAGATTTTCACCTGGGGTTCTTACATGGTGGTCCCGAGCTGAAGCGAAGGGTTTTCACGTGTCCAGGCCGCCCAGGTGGATATCTAACATGGTGGTCCCGAGCTGGAACCACGTGTTTTCACGCGTCCAGGCCACCCAGGGCGGTGTCTACCATGATTTCCCCGAGCTGGAACTATGTGTTTTCACGTGTTCAGGCTGGCCAGGTGGTATCTAATATGGTTGCCCCAAGCTGGAATCACGTCCTCACGCGTCCAGGCTACACAGGGAGATACCCAACATGTGGTCGTCTGGCTCTGATTCTTTCTGGGCGTCTCGAGCGAGGGCTGCGGAATTGAATCGGATCTTGAGCTCGAGCTGGTCGAGCGCCCCGCGCGTTTCGACTGCAACTGGTCCGAGCTACGCGTTCAGACAGCTCGAGCTTAAGATCCAAATCAGCTCGGTCAGGATTCTGACGCCAAGCACGGCTTGACCCACAATGCAATAGCGCACGGCACAATTCAACATGGCATGTCCTCTGGCGCGTCCTCTGGCACTTCCACTGGCACGTTCCGTGGCGCGCCCCTGGCACGTCACCATGCGGCGCGGCACAGCGCAGAGCAGCACAACACAGACCTTGGCAGAATACCATCATCATTGATTTCTTCAGCATTGCCACTGTCCGTCGCCCAATTGAAGTCATTGGAAATGTTGCCATGCCTCGCAGTTCTAAGTCCCTTTCTGGGTTCGTGGGTCGATCACGTTCCGAAATCACGTTCTGGGTGAGCGCTGGACCTTTACCGGCGGCGCTTCTGGCGTCGTCCCTGGTGCGCAGAGAAGCCCGCGCGGACCTCCGAAAGCTTATACACATGTTTGGTATAGCTTGTTCTTAGGAGTCTCCTCCTCTCCCCTCCTCCCCTCCAGCCCTGTTTCCTCAACTCCAGGTGAGCGCGCGCCGCCTGGTCGTGTGCGAATACGCTGCTCTTCCCTTCCCATCCTCGTCCTCGTCCTCCTCCTCCTCTTCCCCACCTGCTGCTCCTCCTCGTCCTTCTCCTCCTCGTCCTCCTCGTCCTCGTCCTCCTTCTCCTCCTCCTCATCCTCATCCTCCTCCTCCCCCTCCTCTCCTCCTCCCGCTCCTCCTCATCCTCCTCCTCCTCCTCCTCCTCCTCCTCCTCCTCCTCCTCCTCCTCCTCCTCCTCCTCCTCCTCCTCCTCCTCCTCCTCCCCCTCCGCGACACCTGGCGGTACGCCTCGATCCTCGATCCTCGGCACCGGCGGGCGCGGAGCGCGTCAGGGGCGGTTCTGGAAGCGCCGCCAAAGGGGGCCCAGCCGCGATCCAAGAAACCCGCACAGACCCCTGGAAAGTTCATGGCCGCTCCCAAGTGCTCGGGGGACCTGTGGAGGCCAGCCTGGACTACCTGGGGGGGCTGCTTGCGCGCGACCCGAAGCCTCACCGAAAGGCAAGCTCGGAATCCGCGCCCCTGGGGGGGACAAGCACAAGTTGTATTGCAAGCAAAGGGAAAGCGGGGCTACGCGTTTCGCTTCCTAGGGGCTTTTCGGGACAAAAAATGCCTACGGTGCAACATCGAACGAGCATCGTCAACGATGGGAACGGGCATCGTCGGTGACCGCATCTGGGGCGGAGAGGGGGGGCATCCCGCAAGGGGCGGAGCTCCTTCTGGTCCGGGCCCAGGCCGGCCGACTCCGCTGCGGCGCCGAGCCTGCGTCGTCGTCGTCGTCGTCGTCGTCGCCGCCGTCGTCGTCGTCGCCGCCGCCGTCGTCGTCGTTGCCGTCGTCGTCGTCAAGGCCGTGGCCAATGGTCATGTCCGTCGTCGACGCCGTGGCCGTGGCCGTCATGGTCGTGGTGGTGGTTGCCGCAGTCGTCGTCGTGGCCGCCGTGGTCGTGGTCGTGGTCGTGGTCATGGTCGAGGTCGTGGTCGTGGTCGTCGTCGTGGTGGTGGTCGTCGTGGTCGTCGTCGTCGTCGTTGTCGTGGTCGTGGTCGTGGTCGTGGTCGTCGTCGTTCCCGTTGTCCTCCTCTTCCTCCTCCTCCTCTTCCTCCTCTTCCTCCTCCTCCTCGTCCTCGTCCTCGTCCTCGTCCTCGTCCTCGTCCTCGTCCTCGTCCTCGTCCTCCTCCTCGTCCTCCTCCTCCTCCTCCTCCTCCTCCTCCTCTTCGTCCTCCTCATCCTCCTCCTCTTCGTCCTCCTCCCCCCCCTCCTCCTCCTCCTCCTCCTCCTCCTCCTCCTCCTCCTCCTGCTCCTCCTCCTCCTCCTGCTCCTCTCCTCGTCTTTGACGCTGGCCGCAATCGAGGTGGGTGGGGCGGACAACACCGATCCCCGCAGGACAAATCGAGGGACGGAAACCGAGACTGGCATCCAAACGCCGAACTTTGATACACATCGCGCGGAAACAATAGTCAGACGACGGAAACGGCATCCTGGAGAAGGGGGAGGAAGAGGAGGAAAATGACCACTGTAAACCCAAGACGCACCAACGATGTTGGAATACACCCTCCCACTTAGGAAAGTGCCACATTGGGAGACAATCGTTAGAAGATCCTGAAGCGTGCCAAAGCACTATTCTCGGGACCCCAACGCCACGAATCAACATGACTGCGTCGTTTTGACGACCCTGAATCGTGGAAGAAAACCGCTCCTGGGACTTCAACACCGCGAATCGACATAACTGCGGCCCGACAGCCCCCAATCCCTCCATAACACCATTTCTGGTACGTTGGCCATGTGAACCCGTGAAACTCGTGCAAATGTTCAAAAAGAGTGTGCGCGGCGCCAAAGCGAGAACCACATTTTGAAAAAGAGCCGCCCTCATGCCGTGAAACTCTTGCGATGTTTAAAACGAATGGGCGCGGCGCTAAAGAAAGAACCAATGTTTGAAAACGACCCGCCCAACATCCGTGAAACTTTTGTACGTGTTTGAAACGAATGCACGCGGCGCCAAGGCGAGAGCCACATGTTGAAAACCACCCGCTGTCAATCCTCGAAGCTATTGCAAGTTATTAAAACGAATGTGCGCGGCGCTAAAGGGACAGGCACATTTTGAAAACGCCCCACTCTCAATCCGTGAAGCTCTTGCACTGTTTAACACGAGTGCGCGCGGCGCTCAAACCGCCCGCCCTCAATTTGTGAAGCTGCGATCGCTTTTCCAACAGAGGGCGGGGGCCCAGGGTTCTCTCGAAGACGGTTTCCCCCCCAGGGACGATTTGAAGAGGGCTGGCGAGTTTGATCTGCGATAAGGAACGAGGTCGAAGAAGGTCGGCGAATTAAAAATTGAGGATGTCCCGAGCGAGACGCTGGTTTTTGAAATTTTGATTGATAAAATACAAGGTCCAGTAAGCGTTTTCGTTTGTTGTGGATGTGTCAAGCGAAACGCGTGTTCTGCATAATGGGTTCAGGATGTCTCGAACGAAACGCTTGTTTTGGAGACTTCCAAAAACCTAGACGCCCCCTGGGAATTCGGACGCAGCGAAATTTACACAACAAACCCGAGTCCCAGAACAGTCCCCGTACAACTTGGCCCAAGGAAAACCGTGTCATGACGCACAAGAGAGACCACCGCGTAGTCTTCGCCGCCACGGGCATCCTGGGCAGGACCATCACAGAGAGGCACGCGCCCCCAGATCGCACGATTGACATGTCCCCGCCCATCCGACACAACCACCGCCCATCCCGCCGATCGAATACGAGGAAGAGCTGGCTCGTAGCACGAGCCATCACACAAGATATGTGATCCCTCCCTCAGCACCAAGCCCTCGGCAAGCCAATTGTGCCGACGCACCCCGGTGTCGGGGGGCTCGGAAGGGCGAGCGAACCAACGGGCGGGGCCAGGGGGGGCACCTGGCAAACAACTTTTGGGTACTGGTCGAAAGGAGACGGATCCTATCCGCAGCCCGACGCAAGTCGTGGCATATCACATCTCGACGCCAAAGATCGCGAGCTGGGCAATCGAAGCGACGATGGAGAATCGTGCCAGAGGGAGCCTGACAGAGCACACAAGATCGCGAGATATCCTGACATGCATCGTGAAAGCGCCGCTCGCACCGATCCCTGTTGATGATCAAGCTGCGCAGGCAGCGAAGGCAGTGACCATTCCAAACGGAACCCTGCTTTGAAATCGACGTAAGAGCTGGCTGGAGGCACGCAGGGCCGCGCCACTCGTCGCCGAAATCAGAACGCCGAGCCCGCCCTTCAGAAACACTGGCATCCTCGCGCGCTTCGCGCGCGCGAAGGGCAAAGAACGTGGGCGAAAACGTAAACGAACTCCAGGAACACCCAGCCCGGTCAAACAAAACTTCGCTCGGGATATCAAACTTCCAACCATTCCGACCAAACGTTAATACAAGAGCGGCGACAGGCTGTCTGGCGGACCCCCAGGGCTTCGGTTCGCTCGCGGACAAGAGCGCATCTTCAAACGCCGAGAGGAACACCTGCTTCGTGACGCCGCGACGCCACCGAACTGTGTCAAACGATTTGACGGCGTCCACCGAGGTCGAAATGAGCGGGTCTCGCTGAAGGGCCCCGCCGGGGAGGAAGGCGAGGCCGAGGGGGGTGGGCCGGGCTGGAGGGGGCCAAAGCACCTGGCAGGGACAACCTTCAGATATCCCAAGGCAGAACCCCTAGACCATTAATGTGCGCCCCCCACGCGGCCTTAGCGACTGGCCCCGCCCCGCGCACCCGAGGCGCCCCCCTCCCCCCAAGCTTCGAGAGCCGAGTCGCTGCGGCCGGCGATGCTAGGAGGCGCATGTTCAAGCGCCGCCACCCAAATCACGGTGGGCGCTAGCAAGGAAGGACTCATCAAAAGGCCAGTCGGGGCCCTCCAGTAGGGCCTCGACCAGCTCAGGGCACGAGCAGAGGAAGCAGGCCTTCGCAACATAGAGCGGGAGATCCAGGTCCACCTGAGACAAAATCATAGTGGCTGCTTGGACCAATTGCCGAGCCTGTCCGTGAAGATCCCACTGCGCGTGCATTCAGGTCGCCCGCCAGGTTCAGCGGCCGACAAACAGGCGTCCCGACTGCCATGGTACGCAATACACAAAGAGTCGTGAGCTTCACCGCGCCCGTCGCGCAACTGCAGCCAGAATTCGCGGCGCCGTTGGGCATCGCCGTGCGCGACGTCGCGCCGAGCCAGCGTACCCTCCTCGGTCCACGGTAGACTGCGCGCAGGCACCGCAGCAGCTGTTCGTCGAAACCGAAGTGCTTGCCAGCCGAGCGCACCGCGCAATGACAAACGTTCTCAAGCAACTTCTGAACATCGCAACACAGCGTTTCACTGACGAAACCATGGCGCGGAGCAGGCACCACAAAAAGGTCGTGGATGCACGCCGATCGGTCGGCCGCCGCGTCACCTAACTTGCCCCGGAAGAAGCTGGCATCCACGCTGGCCTCGCAAGCGTGAATCTGGCGCTGTCGAATCTGGGCCACGCGCGGGGCCAAGGGCCCAGAAGGCCGATCGGCTGACGCCCAACATCAGGCGGAGGCCGAATAATAAAAACAAGCATGGTCGTCCACAGATCAGGGGCGACAACTGACAGCTCGAACTGATTCAGAACGGCCGCGAAACGAAAGACCATGGCGTCCGAGAGTTCACCAATCAGCCGAAGATGGAAGTTGACCCGACCCAAGCCTCCCGTCTGCCGAAGAAGATGATGGCCGAACGAACTTGCTTCATGCTGATACCAAAGTCACCGGCGCATGCCATTCAGAAGCGGGCAGCTCATCCATCCTCAACTCCACGGCCCACAGCGGAATCCATCCCTGCAAAACGCCTTCGACAGCCCAAGAGCCCAACTGCGGTAACTGATCGACATCGCCAGGTAGGGCCACATGCAGAGGCTCAACCATATTGGGCTCGATCAGCTCGCGCGCGATCCTGCCTGATCCCGAAAGGGCCCATTTGCAGAAGTCACGCCGCCACTTAGCCTTAGCCGCAGCGTCGCCTCGCCCGCGCATGGCCAGCTCGCTGGCCGACAGTGGACGGTCCCCTTCAGCAAGTCCAAGCCGCTCGTCGATAGCCGCACTGCGAAAGGCCTGAGCACTCCAGACAGCAGCAGGCACAACCACAGGCGAGCCTGCGCGTAGAGGCGATCTCGCACCGCCTGCCTCTTGCCGCGAGATCCGCGGCCGGCCTATCCCCAGCGTAGCATAGCCCTCCAGATGCGATGAAAACTCCACCAGGCTTCGGTGCCCGTGAAATCGCGAGTGCGCTGCCTCCGCTCCTGAAATTTCAGAAGATGTCATTCCACCGCTCGAATGCCTTTGCCGCGTCCAAGATGATGGGGGGCAGCCGTCGCATCGATCCGCTGGGGCCGAATGGGAGCAAGCTCCGCGCAGTCGAACCGCCCGGTGCAGGCCGCCCGAAAGTAATCCAGCGGCTCGCGCAGCCCCTCGAACTCCCGCTGCGACTCCGACGCGGGCTGCTCCGAGGGCGCGGCCGGATCGCCCGACCCACCCGCCTTCTTGGCGGCAGAATATGGCCGCCGAGCATCCTGGATCCAGACCGCATGGCGCTCCCAGATGTCACCTGAAGTAAACGCGACTGACCTGGTCGCGGGAGCCAGCGGGCGCGGCAGCGAACGCCTGAGGGGAGGTAGCGCGGCGAGCCAGCGAGCGAGACGCGACGAAAAATCGCGCCCGTTTTCCCCGCGCGCAGGGGCACCGGGATTGACGATGACGCCCTCCGCCTCCCGGCACCTGCCGCTGATTCAAAGACGCGGGCGTCCTCGCTCCAATCAGCCCCGGCGATGAAAGGCGCTGGGAACTGGCCCGCGACGGCAGCGACCCCCGAGAGCAACGCCAAGACTTTCGCCCGTCAAGCCGATGGAGGTAATCATAAGAAGAGAAACCACCAGCAGCACTGATCCTTCACAGGGGCACCGAAATGCCGCTGAAAACGCCGACGTGCGCGCCGACGCACAACCCAACGCTTCGATTGACAGCTAGGCGCCCAGGGCCAGTGCGACGAGGGGTGCCTGGGGCCTAGAGCCAGGGCAGGGTGGCAGACCCGGCCCAAGCGCCATTGACGAACGCATCCAGCTGGCCCGGAGTCGAGGAACCTCGTCTCCTGAATGAAGGCCGCGTCGGAGCGACGCCCAGCGGCCGAGTTCCACCCCGGCACCGCGCGCGCCCCGCTCCAAGCGCCCCCGTCGATGGCGGCGAGGCGCATCGGCGCCGCGCGGCGGCCCTGTTAGGCAGGTAGAAGTTGACCCATCTTGAGCTCCGCGGGCGCCTCGACGAGATCTCCAGAGACAGAGGCGGGCGCCCTGCTCGCCGCGACTCCGCCCCCGGCGGCGCGAGACGCGATCTCTTCTGCTCGTGACTGACAGCTTCTGCGAGCCACGTCGAGCAATGGCAGCGCGCAAAGGCCCCCGGGCACGGGCGAGGGAGGCCCGAGGCCCCCAGGGCCCAGATGAGACACGTTCCCGCCAGAGAACTTCCGAACCCAGGCGCGCTCTGACCCAGCGGAGGTGGGGTCCGGCGACGATGCAGCGCTGCCGCGTCTGAGGCAGACCGCGGTCAGTCAACGACGCCGTTATCTCCCCAAGAGAAACAATGAGTAGCAAACGAAGCCGTATACATCGTATTCCCCACAGAAATCTGGGCAGTCGCCGAGGCAGAAGACGTCGGTGGAGCCGATGTCGGCAAGGTAGCTGTCAGCGACGCAGAGGGCCACGTCGGGGCCGAAAGCCAGCGGGCGCGAGGGGCAGGCACAAGCGCCGCCTCGAGCAGCGCGGGGAATAACGCCACCAAGTTGTCGTGATCGGTCCAGCGATGGTTGGCAAACTCGTTCCACGCATCCTGGGTGAGCAGACGCGAAAATCGGATGAACCGATGCCGGCGTCGAGCTCCGCGTCGCCAGCCAGCCTGATACGCCTCGGCGACCGCGTCAACCAGGGTGCCCCCAAAGGCGCCCAGCGACGCATGAAAGCTTCGCGAAGATCTCGTTGGTCGCCCAAGTCCAGCACGCTAGAGAGCCACTACTCGCACCAATCTTGCCGACAGTCAACATCTTCCTGGCGCTCGCGACTCGCGTTCCAAATCCAGCGCGCAGACTGCGATCCGAGGTCCTCGTCCATTTTCAGCACCGCGCGATCATCGTCGCGCTGAGGAGGTGCAGGGATCCCAGGAGGAGGTAGCCCCCATGCACAGCGGCTCAGCGTCAGCGGCGCCAGAAGCTGACAGGTCTAAACGGTGCCAGTCGCTCATCGTGGCGAAGCAGAAGGTCATCGTGGCCGCGACGATGAGTGCAACTCCCCTAGCCAGGCCATAACCCCAAAGGGGCTTGACCTCCGCCTGCCAAAGACGAGCCGCGATTGACTGTGGAACACTCGAACTAGTCGTGATCACGCGGGGGGCAGGCTCCTCCTGGGGCGATCACTGCGCGCATCTGCGCCAGATCGGGCCCCTGGTCCGCTGAGGCAGGGGCTGCAGCGGGCGCTGCAGCGGCAGGCGCCGACGGCGCCGCATGCGCGGCCGCCGCCCCCGCAAGCGCCTGGCCCCCAGGCGCCTCGAGCCGCGCCAAGGCCCGGCGCGAGCACTGCGGAACCTTCTCGCAAAGCTGGACCGCGAAGGCCGAGAGGTCGGGCACGTGGGCGCCGAGCTCGTCGAGGCCCTGCTCCAGGAGCCGCCGAACCTTGTCGGAGTCGAGCTGCCAGATGGGTGCCGACGAAGTCCCCGCGACCTGCGGCGGCTGCGCCCGCGCCGCGCCCTGGGCGGTCAAGGCCGCCTGCTGGGATTTGAGCCGCGACAGCAACTGTTCCTGCTCCGAGACGCGGGCGTCGGACGCGGAGAGCGCCTGCTCAGCGTCCACCGCGTGCACTTGCGGCAACCTTCCTGCTGCTTCTTGGCCTTGAGCAGCGACTTCTCGGCCTCGCCCAATAATCCGCAGGATGATGCGCAGGCGCGCAGCCGCGGGCTGAGTGTCAAGCAAGCGTTTATTCATATCCCTGCGCTCGGTGCGGAGGTCAGCCTTGACCTCCAAACTGAGGACACCGTCCAAAGACGCGATGTTGCTGAACTCTTCTCGATTGCAGCCAGCCGGTCTCGATCCGACGGGGTTCCGCACTCGCCGTCGACATCCCAGCGTGAAGCGGCCGTGTCAAGAGGGGCCTGCTGTTGACCATCGTTATTTTGAATTCGCCCTCCAGGCGCGGGATATGCGCCTGGCACTTGGCCAGTTGGCCGTCGCCGCTGGAGGAAAGCCCTTGCCCCACGCCGACCGCGAGACCCAGGGCGGCTTCTTGGAAGGAGGGGGGGAGGAGGAGGAGGAGGAGGAGGAGGAGGAGGAGGAGGAAAAGGAGGAAAAGGAGGAAGATGAGGAGGAGGAGGAGGAGGAGGAGGAGGAGACCACAGAGACCACCTGAAGGGACGACGTCCCAGGACAGGACAGGACATCCGCACGATGGGGGTCACGTCGACACCTACAAAGGAGCTGCATAACACGACTAGCAAAATCCCCTGCGATTGGAATATGTCGCAAACCCAGACTTCTCATCGGGGCCGGCAGGGGGCATGCCCCGAAGCTTCAAGGGGCGAGCTCCGAGGTGGCCCCTTACAAGAGGCTGGCTACCTTGTGAATGCGAGTCCATACGGCTCAGTGCGGGGGAGCAGCTGTTGGCCCTCTCGCGCGCCCAAGACGATGGGGACGCGAAGGGCGAGCAGGGCTCCCAAGCAGGGGGGGGGACGACGACACGACCTCGCTCGACACAGCGAAAAGAGGAGAGGATGCAGGCCCTTTCGTGCCAAGCTTTGCTGGGGGGGCCTAAGTATGTTCTGCCCACGACCTGCTGTGCCCACGTTCCTAGCAGAGTCTCTCCCTCTCTAGGCTCATTTCTCTTCCTGGACGTGCTGGCCGTTGGCTGAACCAGGCAATGTCGTGTCTGACTCACTTCTGTGACGCAACACTCTGTATCCAAATTCTCTGTAATATACCAATTGCACCTTGATGTACCCCCGCCATTCAGCGTGTAAATAGGGGCGAGCAAACCTATTTATGTCACGGCGTGTAAGAGGTTTACCCTATATGCTTACTATGCAGAACACGAACCACTGTTGTTCCGAGGGAAGAGGGGCCCTTCGGGATAAACTCCAGTGGCCTTCCTGGTGGTAGGAGGAGGAAGAGGAGGAGGAGGAGGAGGAGGAGGAGGAGGAGGAGGAGGAGGAGGAGGAGGAGGAGGAGGAGGAGGAAGAGAAAGAGGAGGAGAAAGAAAAGGCGAAAGAGGTGGAGAAATATTAGTTTTGCACTCGGAAGAGGCGCCAACGATATGAAGGAGGCAGGACGGAGGGAGGGATGATAACTTCGGATCTCGGAATTCGGATGCGGACGGAGACCGGAAGAGGACGGAAGAGGCGTTCGCCCGCGGTTGCCTGGCGGCGGCTGCGGCCGGCTCGGCCATTGGGCGCGCGGCGGCGCTGGCGGAGCTGGTAGGGGCCACGAACGCCATCATCTGACGGGAATGGGGGGCGTCGTCGTTGTCGTCGTCCTCCCAACCTCCTCCTTGTCCTCCTCTTCCTCCTCCTTTTCCTCCTCCTCCTCTTCCTCTTCTTCGTTTTTACCTTTGCGGCCCCCTGCGCAGGAGCGCGGGTCAGTCGACGCGGAGGAAACCGCCTAAGGCGTGCGCGGCATGCGTGCGTGACCGACGCCCAAGACATCGAGGGGTGCAAACCCACGGAGGGAAGGGGCAGGGAACTGAGAGCAGGAAGGACCGAGCATATCAAAGGCGGGAGAGGAGACCCAGGAGGAGAACGGGGGAGGGAAAACCTCCTCCTCATCCTCTTCTCCCTCTTCCTCCTCCTCTTCCTCTTCCTCCTCCTCCTCTTCCTCCTCCTCCACCTCCTCCTCCTCTGCCTGCCGCAGCGTTCCGCAGCGATCCCTCTCCAGACCGAGCCGCACCGCACGCGCGCGCAGGCGCGCGCGAGAGGCGCGCCCCCGGCATCCGGACGCCGCTAAAGATGGCTTCTGCGAGGGGGGGGGCCTCGTTGCCCCTTTGAAATCTGATAGGAGCCTTTTCCCCTGAAGGAAAATAGGACTTGAGCCACATCAGTTGCGAAACCGCGGGCGCGCTACATGCTCAACTACACCCTCTGCTGCGCCTGCTTACCCACTCGGAACTCTATGACCTAACACCTCCCGGATGTGGAGACGGGCGAGGTATAAATAGCAAGAGCGACAGCGTAAGGGGCGAATGTGAAACAAATGGGCAACGCAGTGAAGTCAGGACTGCACACCGGCAACTCGATTTAAATAGCGAAATAATAAAAAGCAGACTGGTGCAAGCAGAAGACGATTATGGATTGGGCGTAAACGCGCAGGGGGCCTCCTAACACGTGATGCGCTAAGTTCATCTGTCGCAAAACACCGAGTCATGTAACATCAGTGACATCATGAGTAGAATGGGTTCGACATCGCATGGACGAAGACCTGGATATCCACTGCTTCTGTTTTCAACTCACCGGGAAGCCGGCTCGCGATGGTAACCAAGAGATTGATCGAGCTAACACTTCGTGGCCGGTGCCAGCCTCGCGTATGGACGGACATATTGTCCTTGCCCAAACACTTGGTTGAAGTATTTGCAAGGTTCTCATGAGTTCCTGCTTTGATCACTCCGATGATCCCTCGTCTCACATTGTCTTATAACCAGAGCTGGCAGACTCGATGTACTTGACTTTTCCCACTCCACGCCTGCTCGCAATAGCAGCGGCTGCGCGCGCATCGTTTGTTCAACAAGATGCCGCAATCAACTTCAAAGCTCTTGAGAACCACCTGCAGGCCTAACGCTACTGATGCACCTGCAGCCGCCCCACCATACTCTTTGCCAGAAGATGATGCCACCAAACTCTGAGTATAACTCCACGATTTAATGATATGTCATCCACTCGTTGACCTCCGTGTTTTCGTGCAACGTGCACCGTCGATGACCGTCCACGCAGTTAATTTCCTAGGGCGATATTGGTATATATACTGGTCTATACCTGTCGTGGCTTTTGAGGTAGTTGCCTGATTTTGCAAGACTGCCCCATGCCCTTCGGTTGGGGCTCACATAGAACCCGCCAGATCCTTGACTGCAGCTAGATAGTGTGCCCTGGCCACCAATGAGTGGCAGTTCTTAACTTCGTGACTTGGCAGGGACTCCTCATATTCTTGTCAAGGCTGCTTTTCAAGTGGCATCCCACATCTCACCTTGCGCTGCTCTCCGAGCAAGGTTTTTGGTCTTCTCCCCTTGTCGCTTCCGATTGGCTCTTGAGGCGTCCAGATGCCTCCAAGACGGCTCCAAATGAGGCCCTGGGCGAACCCGAAAGAAGCCCAAGGCTGGCGCCACGGGGCCCGGAGTGGGAAAAACAAAGAAAACGCAGTAAACAAGCAATGTTGTCGGCCTTCTCGATTGTACGCTATCGTTTGACTCGGGGGGCGTCGAGACGACCCCAGGATGGCCACAGCAAGGCGCAAGACAGGCCCGAGGAGGCGAAATTTGTTTTGGGGGGGGTGCGCTGGGGCGTGCCCCCCCCCGCCTTATAAACATATAGAAACAGGAATATCTGTATATATATATATATATATATATATATATATATATATATATGTATGTCTGTACAAATGTGTGTGCGTGTGTGTGTGCGTGTGTGTGCGTGCGTCTTCCGATCGGCCATGAGACCGCCCTCGTCATGTAGACCCTTGAGCTTTCCGCGGGGCTCCGTCCCCTTCCAACCTTGTCATTCAACGTATATGTCCTCGTCCAAGTTGGCGTAGTCGTCTTCATCTAACTCAGGCTCCCTCTTTTGCGTCGTCCTCTTGATTCTTTATGCGCGACGCCTTGCTGTACTCGCTCGGTGTTAACCTCCAACGCAGGATCTGTATCAGATCGTCCTCTTCGTCGTCTGGCAACGCCCCATCCATGATTTCGAGATTGTTGCTCCAGTGTTTCAAGGACTTACGAGAACCATGCTCCACCGGGGCAAGCGCATTCAACAACTTCTCGCTCCGTTCCCTGAGTTTGATCTGGTGACCCTAAAACGTTCTTAACTGTTGACCCGCCTTGTACTCACTGGCGGGCTCGATTCCACCTCTTCTGGCCGTGGTTTTTCCAGCAGGCTGTATAATCTCACCGATCTTGGCGACATGCTCCGAAGCGTCCATTTGACGTTGGGATTGTGTCTTGCGCGTTCGTCCAAGTAATCTAATACCTGGAATATCAGTTTATAACCGACAATGCGCGATTCCGCGAATCGTCTCGTGCTCTGGTTGTACCAAGCCTCTCGGACGTCGGATGACATCACATCGAAACTTGGGTGCTGCGCCAGGGTTCGGCGCTGCCGCCGCAACCATTGCAGGCGAGTTCACCATGCGCACTGGAATGCGCAGGACGAACCACGGGCTCCGCTACCATGGAAATATGATAGGAGCCTTTTTGTTCTCCTGAAGGCGAGTAGTACTTGAGCCACAACAATTTTGAAACCGCGGGCGCGTCACATGCTCAACTACACGCTCGGCTGCACCAGCTGACCGAATCGGAACGATAATAATGTTTTTAACACCTCCTCCTCCTCCTCCTCCTCCTCCTCCTCCTCCTCCTCCTCCCGTCCCTCCGTCCCTCCCTCCTCCCTTCTGCCTCCGCCCGCCCCATCCTGCTTCTCCTCCTCCTCTTCCATCTCACCTCCTCCTCGTCCTCCTCGTCCTCGTCCTCGTCCTCGTCCTCCTCCTCCTCCTCCTCCTCCTCCTCCTCCTCCCCCTCCCCTTGACAACGTTCGCGCTGCTCGACGCGCTATCATGTTCGGTTTCAGCAAGTCTGCGATTTCTCCTTGCTCGGGAAGGGAAACAGCAAAGGGCCAGGACGCCGGCACGCGAGTGAGGAGCTTTGCTACTTAGGCTTCCATCGCCCGCTCTCCTGCCATTACGCAAAAGGCATATTTTATCGCTGTTGGACTGCGGACGCAGGCTCTCTTGCAAAAAGAATTTAGGACGGGCAGCGCGGATGACGGCGCAAAAAGCGCGACGCACTGCCCGCGACTCGCCGCCTCCGCCTCCCCAGAAGCAATGCGGCCTGCACACCAGAGAGGCGAACCTGCGGCGCAACGCACTGCCACCAAAAAAGAGGGCGGGGCTACGAGCCGCTCCTCGCTCTGGCCGCCCCGGAGGCGCGCTCGCCCCTGCTGGCGATCGCCTGGCGCCCACGCTCGATCGCTTCTTCGGGCGGAGTCAAGCCGCGGGCCGACAGGACGCCGCCAACGCCTGGCGGAAAGAGAGCCTGTTGCCCCCCCGCAGGCGAAACAGCTGCCGCTGGGCGGGTGCGTGCCGGGCCCACAGGGTCGGCTGCCTCTTCGGGCCCTGGGGCGGCCGCCAGACCGCCAGGATGGCGGCCCGCCGTGGCCCCGAGGTCGCCCGCCCAGTGCTCCCGCAACTGCACTGAGGGCGTGGTCAGCTCACTGAGCTTACGCTTGCAAGCAGGGTCTGGAAGCCGGCGGGACGTCAACTGAGGGTTGGCCACGGATATCGCCGTCGCCCTCATTACTTGTGGCGCCTGTGGCTCATTAGTCATCAGATTCGCACTCAGGCCATTTCACTTCACATTTCTGGCAACTCTTGGGTGCGTAGATGTATTTTCGGTCGGACCATTTTTCGACGAAACCGTCTCAGCACGTGTACCGGTACGGTTTGGCCTGCTACGGGGCCTGTACCGATTCTGCTGTAGTTGTCCGTTCTGGGCCCCAGGCCTTGCAGATCGAGGGCCGTGATGTTCCACAGTCGATTTTTCCTGGGTCTAAGAGGTCCAGGGCCCTCCCACAGCAAATTTTCGGCCCCGGGCATTTTTTTCAAACACATTTTCTGAACACAATCCGAATGTATATGTTGAGAGCGGTTCTCCCTTGAACCTGAGACGCTCTGCCTGGCAACGGGTATCGTCTCGAGGGCGCACCGATGAGGCTGGGCACGGCCACGTGGCCAGCCTCACCTCAGACCCTGTACAGATTGCACTGGGGTATTTTCGGCTCGAGTCCCACCGAGACGTGGGCAGGACGTGTGCGCTAGCGCATGGGAACACGAAAGACTCGAACCATTGATTCCGCGACAGGTCCGCACGAAACCCGAGTTCGTGTCAGTTTGGACTCCTGGCTTCGCGAATCCTTGGAATACTCGCCAAACGCGCTCTACAGGGAGCCTTACCCAGTAAGTCAGCTATCCGATGTACGTGATCTCAAATTGGTGTCAGAAGCTGAACGTGCAGTCAAATCTGGTGGACACACTGGGGAGGATCCCTTGCATGTTGAGCGGTTGAGTCGATGGGTTGGGCAAGTCGGCTACGCTGGTCTTCCATGTTGGCTGCGGGCCCACCTTGTGCTCACACTTGTCACCCTTTTGATTGTGCCCCGTTCCCTCGAGAAATTCGCTCCTTCTCTCTCTCTCTCTTTTTCTCTTTCTCCCACGCTTCCTCCTCCCCTCCTCCTTCTCCTC